GACAAATTGCATTACAATTCTTCTTTTTTTTTACGTTTACGTTTTGCATTTCGCTTTACAGCGAATGTACAGTTTGATCTTTGCAAGTGAGGTCAAATAAATTCTTATTCACTCTGATTGTAAACACAATCAGTCGTATTGGTCAATTGCTTGATAAACAAACAATTTCGCTCATTCGTAATGAAGAAGCAGTAATTTTATTCCTCTTGGAAATCATTATCCTCTTATCAAACATGTAATAAGAACTGCTCCAATCAGCGATTTAGATTGTGCAACTATTAGACAATTGTAATTATTTGTGCTGTAAAGTACAGTTAACGTTTTTGCAATGGAATGGTCAATGTTTAGTCACCATGGACAAATATTTGCCTGATTGGATATTAAATATCGGCAATTAATCATAGTCATCATTGTTGGCAACTTGATAATATGTAAGGGTTACCAGTCGATCGTACAAACACAAAGTGAGCGTGACAATTTTGCGGCTGGCTGTTAATGTTTGCTAAAGGGTTGTCCTTTGCCCAGAGAACCGCATAATGCTTTGATTAAAATTCTTGTTTGCAATAGCAAACAACATTGATAGGGGGTCCAGATGCGAGAGCTTGTTGTACCTAATCTCATCTAATATTCGGGATTTAATTACGGCATACCATACGCCATCGCAGCGAGCGCCATTAATCATTCATCAGAACGACCGAATGTCATCCGTCCGTCCCATGCCCAAGTTACAACTTACTCTTTAATTGGAACTTCATTACTGCGCAGGCAATTGTTGCTGTTCCCCCATTTTATTTTTACATCTTTCTTACTCTTTTCGTTCACGGTTCGGAGAAAAGGATAGTGAAATATGAAATCGGTGCTATAATGTTTTCTAATTAAAAACGACTCTTTAATTACTGGCTCTTCAAACATCACTGGAAAAGGAATAATTAAAAACAAACTTTTCGTATAGTGCGCAAATAGGCAACACGAACTTTTTCTCTTATCCAAACGCTTGTCTGCACCGGAATCCAAACTTTAAAGTTTGTAATAGGCAACCACAGTAGCAGCGTCTGCAGAGACCTGGATTGAACGCTTCAAGCTTCATCCGCCGGAAACTCACAGTTTATTACGTTTACTCAGTCTTATTAAAAAACACCTAAAATATTTAGAAATATTCATAACATATACACATTTAGAAATATATAATCTAAATTAGAGATTATATCTAGACACTAAAATTTAGTTTAAATTATAAAATTAAACAGTAGTTTAATGTAAAATATATACTAAATTTGTCGTCAATTTACAAATAATAACTTCACTGTAAAAACACAGCATTTCTATATATTTATGTGGAATTTACAAATTTCTTACGTTGATAATAACGTTTTCTTCAATAATTTGTAATTTCTTAGTATTTTATAGACTAAGATTTATATTAATTTTATTTATTTGAAAATAACGACTAATATCCGAATGGTTAAGTTGGATCGAATCCTGGTCAATGCCTGGACCTTTTGTGGGCCATCTCGGGACTTGCGGCAATAGGGCCATCATTCATCACAGGTGGACAGTGAAATGAATGAGGTTCAGCGTATGGCTTCAGCCAAGTCGATGGACAATGACAGTGTTAAATATAGCAGCAGATTCACAGTGAAAGGAAATAGTGGAATCGCAGAGCATCAATATACCACTGAAGTTAACCTGAAGTTATTAAAAATCAAATCATCAAAATGGTAACTATCCACCGGGAAAGATTACCTACCTAATGACAACCGCGATCTTAAATTTACACAATGTTCACATTGATGAACAGATTATGAATAAAATTACACGACATAAAAAAATATTTCTTGATACTATTTTGACCGAAGCCATTTTTTTAACTTATTTATATATCGACACAAGACTCAAATATATCATAGAATTTATCTAATATAAATATTCAAAAAAGTTTAGAATTTACTAAATGCAAAGTTTGCTATGACCATACAAATGAGATTTACTTACTTTCTATTTTTAAAACAGAAATAACATCGTTTGAAGCGCATTTAATCTAAATAAAGTGTTATATTCCGGTATTTCATCCGATTCTTTTTCAAAGTACAAATGCAATCCGTCCGTTGTGTGTCTTTTTCTTTGAGAAATCTGCGTAAACATAAGCGACTCGTATTTACACGGCAGAAACATCAAACGAGGCCCCCTTTCAATAAATAATACAACACTTATATAAGCTGAGCGCTATTTTTACCAGCACGCGCGTATTTTTACTCCTTGCTCACGCATTCAACGTTATTATTTCCATTTATTATGTAATGCGCTTTTCTCTACATCTGCTTAAAATCTCATCAGGTCTTCATTTACCAGTGCATTCATTAACAGGATTCCTATTCAAGTTTGTGCTTAGCAAACAAAGACACGAAACCCGGCGCATCCGCCAGCAATTTCCATCTTTCTCGGAAATATTATATATCTAGTAATTTATTTGTTGCCTTTTATATTTTACAATGGAGTGAAGATGTGGGACAAGTTGGACACGATTCGATCCACGTACAATTTGCACGCGATCTCGACCTTTGTGACCCAAAGACCTTGTAATCCTTGCACGACTTCCATTTCAAGTTCGCACAAAAATATTTTTTCAATATTTCATTAAAAGTCGTTTTAAATATTAAATTTTAATTGTTTGAGTCAATCAACAAAGTATTATGCAAAGTGATAGTTCTTATATAAAATACAATTTGTAAATTCAGACTTTACAAATAGAGATAACAGAAAAAGTCACGTCGTCGAATGTAGCTTTACATAACCTGAATCTTTACAATGATGTATTCGGATTTTCTCAATTTTTCAATACTTCAACTATAAATTAATACATTATTTCAAAATGTTGTCTATGTCGTACTATATAACAGGAGTTGCAACTGTTTACCTAAATTTGGTATAAAAATTTAAAAAAAAATCTGAATTTTAATATATAATATTTTATTTATTAGTTGAGCCACAACAAAACTCTTGACGAGCCGCATGCGGCTCATGAGCTACAGTTCGGCCACTTCTGCTATATAATATCTAAGTATTAATAGAACAGTGTAACTGTAAAAATAAAGAATATAAGGAAAGGAAACTCGAGACACCTTTTGATCTACCTCTCACTTTGATCTGACATTATTACATTAGCATGGCCACAATCCGCTGCAAAATTATTTCTCTTTTCGCAGAAACGTAGCGATGTACGTTGGAAATTTAGTGCCTTTCCAGAAAATTGGGCCGTGTTTTGCGTTACTGTTTCGCTATTCTATTCCTCTCTTTTCATCAAGAATACTCTTCCCATGTCCAATTCCCTGAACATCGTCGCTATTGCCTGCAATGTGTTCGAGGATTTACCGGAAAGTAATTAAACATTTCAATCAGCTTTTGCAGCTATAATTCTTTAAATATAAACGTTGTGTAATTGCTTCCAGTAATGGTTGATCTCGCGATTTCGGTGTACGCGTAGGTTGCATTTTTAAACTGCTCGAGGCGAACGAGCAATTTCCTTTCCCTGTATGCATGCAATTTTAGAGTTTTAAAAATTCACGAGATTTTCTACTGGACCAGATTAGGGTACAGTGGATTCTACCTGTTTGCAAACGAGCAGTTTTGTGCGAGCCTAGTCATTAGAATTGCAAAACATAATCGATTCAGGTTATAATTTCATACGGAGCATCGTTTCATTATTAAAACGTTCATCTCTCCTCGGCCACATATGCAAATATACGTACACACCGCAACAATCGATATACATAGATTCAAACAACGAGTAAATTGCGCTACATATTTGTTTATGTTCTTTTAACCCCAGCAATTTGCTGTTTATACAATGTACCTATACTAACAAACTGTCATCTTATTCGATTTTCTATTTATCTATAACCAATCGATAACAAATTGTTGTGTCCAACCACTTTATTATTAATAAGTACTATGTGTACTGTATATCAAATACAGTCTTATGGAAAGTTCCTACGACAAGCTTATCGGCATTTGCAACACCTGCATAGGGCAATAAAACCTCTTTGGAGAAACTCTGGTTTTTCATATTCTGCTAGTTTTTACGACCTATCTTTGTCACTGTCTTAAAAGGAGGATTATGTAAAAGTCGGAAGCTAACTTTAAAAACTATGCCACCAACAATTAACCTCCCCAAACAATTGTAAGATTTATTACCCTTTAGAACTTATCGGCAGCGGGAGACATAAAAAACCCCGCTGGCGCCTATTACGTACATTCCACATGGAAAATTACCCCTACCCTTAGAATATTATACTGTATTCAGTACGTCTTCTTACATATAAGACGACACTTTTGTTATTTTTAGTTAGTCCTAGTTAACCCGAGACTCTTGTGAGTCCTAGTCCTAGTAATAGTTCTAGTTTTATACTACTCTTGAACAGCAACCTATGCTTGTAGCAACTGGAAGCTAGATTAAGAATCACCAGCATCTAAGTGTTAAATAAATACTATTATTACACTGACTTTAATCTAGACTCTTCCATAAAACCCACATCGGCAATACAACAAATTATTCCACAGTGTCCAGAGATATTCGATCCCGGGATATGACAAAATAGTACATTTATTATTTTATTCAACTAGAAATAACAAAACAATTTAATATGTAAATGTGTATACAAAATCTAATTTCCACATTTATCTCGCAAACATTAGAGCTTTTAAACACTATTGTAGTTTTCTTTTCATTTTTAAATTTACTTCTTTTGATCTAGAAAACATAATAATGTTATTTATTCGATAACTTTTTTACCTATTACTCCCAACATATAAGTTACATTACCTGTTTGCTGCAAAGTTATAGATAATCATGCTCTATGATGATACAATAATAAAATATCATTTTTCAGAAAGATGTATTGATTGTTTTATTGTTTTCTTTTTTTAATTCAACTAGAATAATATTTGCATTTGCTATACGATTCGATTCAAGGAAATTCAATTTTCTTGGTCTACTCGTTTTATTTATATGTTTTCTTTTGTGAGTTGTTTCTGTTCGCTTTCGTCCATCTTTGTTCATATTCGAATTATACAATATACCTTATGCATTTTGTGTTTGTGTGTGTGTCTTTTCCTTTTTTTTTTATTCATGGTTTGCATGTGTACGTATCGTGGAAGCTGGTTTCAATCCTCGACGGAAATTTGAAATTCCTCCACATTTCCTAAATCGCTCCGTCGGTCCCGTATCGCCCTTAATAGGGACTCTCCGACGCCCCGATCGTTGCATCTAAAAATAAGGGATGAGAGTAAAGAAACGTAAGGGGATGAAGTTCGAAGCCGGTCCATAAATATATCCCTTCGGCCCTGGCTCAGTGTGTATATTTGCATAGCGTATGCGCTAGATCGTGCAGTATTGGTAGTAGTGTTATTAAGCCCACCTGGAGGCGGAGGCTGCCCCGGATGTGGAGCAGACCCCCAGTGCCCGTTCATCAATCATCTTTGAGCACGTCGTTAGAATTTGCACCCCGGTGGACCGGAAGTAGTACGGATCCCCGAACGATTTATCGAGGTCCATTAACAAATTACGAATGCTCGATGTCGCTTCCTCGTTACCATCGACTTCTTGCTCGATCGTCACCGAATTGATCACCAGACCCCCAGGGCCCGAGTTCATTTTCCCCAAATGCTTGATGCATAGCAGTGTGCTCGATATTAACGAGTTCTGCAAGAAAAGAATATAGCAGCAGTGAGACGAGACAGAGCAGAGATAAAAAGATCAGCAGTGATTTCTCGTAGGCCAACTTACGATGTGTCTGGTAATTTGGTCCTCCCAATCCTCGTCACCGCATCGTATCGATTTGTGGTTGATGATCAGATCCAATTTCTTCTTGACGCCCTTCACTACATTCGCGTAAACCCCTGCGAATCACCAGCTTCTTTTAGTATCAAGCAACATTTCGTTAACGTCAGTTACAAATAACCTTCCATTTGGGATAAATTCCCAGCATCCGCCGTCAGCACCGTTAGTCGCTCATCATCTCCCACCGCATCTCGCAATCTCGTGGATTCCGTACATACTACGGTCAAGGCCTTCACGCCGTCATAAATAATAACAGCACTATTTTTGGGGAAATTCAATTTTTTACCTTAACGCTCTGCTCGTGGATGAGAAAGTTCACTAATGCAATTCCCTGTTCTGTGGGTTCTGCGCACAAAAGTATTTCTTTGGATTTTAATAATTCCATCCTGATGCTCTCGCTTCCAGATGGCTGATGAGAATTTAATGTTTTATCTCGGGTCGTCGCTGTTATCGTCGCGCGTTCTCCGCACAAAGGTCAATAAAGTCACCAATTCAATTCAAGTTATTTTATTGTAGCTACGATTACGTTAGATATTAGTATTTACAATAACAATAATAGCCATCATTTTAGTTCAATCCACTCAAATGAAACACTCGACGTGAATATTATTATGTTATAGTCGGTCGCTCCGGTTTGAATTCGAAAGGATCCTGTCCATTTTCCACTACCCAAACGCTGCCATTATTTCCAACGTTCAAAGCCAACAATAAACAATCTGCCACTGCATCCACCCTGCAAATCATAATCATATTTAATCCACATTTACAAGAATAAAAACTATTACGGTTGCAATTTGAATTGTTCCATGACAATCGGTCTGCGCTCCTCTAACCCATTGAAACCAGAATTAAATTTGGCATTATTAGGTAATCTGGTATCAGTTAGTCCGGGTGCTATGGTCATCACCTTTATCCCGGTCTTTTCGTAGTAAACCGGAGTTCCCATTGACTTACCGAAACCAATGATAAAGTGCTTTGTCGCGTAATATACGGGTACAAGACTGGCCCCACTCAAACCCAAAATGGAACTAGTATTTACTACGAATCCCCCTTTTCCACCCTTATCTTTTCTCATGAATTCTATGGCCAATAAAGTTCCAGTAACAACGGATTTCTGAAACCCACCAACCAATAACAAAATTATTACAATAAAAATATTCTCTAACAGCATTTATATCGATCATTAGCTCAAAATCGGATTCGTTGCAAATTCTCGCATGGTTGATCACCAGATCCAGTCCACCAAATTTTTCAATTGTCTTTACAAACGCATCTACAAGCCAAATGTAAAAAATTAAAGAAAAAAATGTTCTGTACTCACCTCTAAATTTAACTTTGTTTGTGGTATCGACCTTCAAGAAAAATACTTTCGGTCCCAACTCCGCTGCAACCTGATTCCCTTTGGACTCATCTATATCCAGAATTGCTACGCCCTATAAAATATTTGATACCCATCTCGCATTGATGTATTCCAACTGGACTTACCTTGAACCCATTGCTCAGAAGTTTTTTTACATATCCTAGACCAATTCCTGCCGCTCCACCAGTCACCAAAGCGACTTTTTCGTTGCAGTCAAAGACCATATTGTTCGTTATTATAAGTCGAAATCGATAATGTTTACACTCTTATAGAAAATGCACTGTTTCGCTATCACTAAATATAAATAGATTAAACCGTTCTATAATGATTTCAATTTATCACGGCGATTGCAGCCAAATATTTTGTAAACACAATATTTATTTATATACAATAATAAATGTAATTGATGCAATAATAAATAAAATTATTAAAAATGCGATTAAACAGAAATGTTTCTATTATATATTCAAGTTTAATTAAGATATGTCTGGTAGGTTATTTTAAATATTATTTAATCAACTAAATTTTCAAATTGAGGTTCTTGCTCATATAGTGGTAAATTGTCTCTGATGACCCAGACACTTCCATTTTTTCCTGAATTCATTACGTCGATGAAAGCCTGTCCAACAACATCGGGTCTGAAATATGAATTATTTAAATAATATTTTAAACAGTGCACTTCGAATATAACTCACTGTTGAAATATTTGCTTTTTTAAAACGTTCAATACATTGTCCTGCATATCTTCGAAATTTGTGTAAGGTTCTGGTACGTCAGTCGTCAATGGTGTAATGGTGAAACCGGGTGCAATACACAACACTTTAACTCCAGTTTTCTTGTGGAAATAGTCGGTACCCATAGACCTTGTAAAGCTCACCACGAAGCTCTTGGTGGCAGCGTATATAGGAGCTATGCAGGTGGACCTAAGACCTAAGATAGAGCTTGTATTCACAATCATACCTCCATTACCGCCCATGTCTTTTCTCATTACTTCCATAGCCAAAAACGTGCATCTAGCTACAGCCGTCTAAAATACAAATTCAAATGATTGATTGATGTTCAAGCAATTATCTAAAGATACTCACGGCATTTACGCTTATGGCCTTTTCCCAATTTACACCGCAACTGATACCTGCGTTGTTTACAAGTATATCTAATCCACCGAAAGTTTCCATTGAATTTTTCATGCATTCTATATCAAACAGTCTTAGCATATATGAAACTAAATTGCAAGTTACTTACCTTGAAATTGTTTTTCATCAGTGACGTCAACCTTCGTAAACAATACTTTAGATCCCAATTCTTTAGCTACTTCAATTCCGGATGGATTCAGATCTGCTATAGTTACTCCCTAATGAACCAACATAGTTTTTTTGTATTAATTACATATGGTTAATTCAAATATGATTTTTACTTACTTTAATGTTTTGTTTTAATAAGCATTTAACGCATTCCAGTCCCAGTCCTGACGCTCCACCCGTAACCAAAGCAACTTTATCACTGAAGTCCATTGTTTTTAATACCTGATATCTTGCAAAAAGAGAACCTTCAACTAAGCAAATTCAACAATAAACTGTGAAGTTTACGATAAGTGGGTATATTTATAGAAGCGAAAGGAATAAGGTCAACAAAAAAAACTAGTTACAAGGCGTCTTTACAAATTATGATGTTATATAATGAGCAAACGTTAAAACTATTTGATAATTTATAGTATTGCAAGAAATACTAGAGGTGGAATGACCTTCACAAAAGTATTGGAAATTTCCTATAAAAGGAAATACAATAATACTCGCAAAAAACAGTATATAATTATTTTTTTCCAATGTTGTCTTTACTGTTCACTGTTCTACTTTGTCATGTAACATAAGCTAGTAGGATTATATAAATACTCATCGATTATATTTCTAGGTGATATTCAAATTTGATTATTTATAAAAGGTTAAATATTTAAGAAAAGTCAATGGAACAACAACAACAAATTTAACAAATAGAATGTGATATTTAAATTTGAATATTTATATAAGATTATATGTTTACAAAAAAAGTAAAAAAAAAAAACGAACAACAACAGATGAAAAAAAGGAATGTCATTAAATGATATTTGGAATTCAAACGCGCAGTTTTATACAGACGGCTTACCGATAACACAGGTTATCATGTATACTTATATTACAAATATCTTGGTTGTTTTTATTTTAAAAAAAAATACGAAAACATTGAAAGCTGGATATTTCTCAATAATCTATTTATATAATATAATTAATAGCCCTTTGTATCAGTTGACTTTTTTAAAATATGTTTTTTTATACGATTGATGCAATAAACATTATTATTATTATTATTACAATATAATATAATTATAATGTTTATTTATAATAATCTAATTATATATATATAATTGCTAATGTTTGACATTCCTTTTGTATGTTTTTAGAAACATTATATTAATAAACATAATGTTTCTACAGTATTTTTTTCCAATATATTAAAAACGAAAAAAAAATGTTCTACTATTTTATTTATATTTTCTTTTGTATTTTAATTTGATTATAAAGAAGCTTTTAACAAAAATCTTGACCTGGGATATGATGAAGGCTATTCAAATAACATAGAAAGAAATTCCTTCTAAATGTACATCCACCGTTTTATAACAAAAAAAAACATTTAAATGTCACAACAGACTAATATCCGAATGGTTAACTCCCTACTTATCCATTTAATGTCAACCGCGATCTTAAATTTTCTCATTGTTCACATTGATGAACAGATTGTGAATAAAATTACATGACTTAAAAAAAAATTCACAACAAATGTTTTATTGTTGATTACATTGGTAGATTCTCAATAAAAACTGGTAAATTTTTCTCTTCGTAAGCCGGTTTGCTGTTATTGATGATCCAAACGCTTCCGTTATTACCTTCTTTCAAAATGTTCATGAAAACATCTCCAACGATTTCGGTACTGAAAACAACATAAAAAGTAAAATTTTAATGATATTATGTTATTCATTTCGACTATATTGCAATTGTTGTGGATTATATAATTAGCCTTACGTTTGTACTGTGATGTTCGGACTGGTTGAAAGTGAAAATTCGGGGAGTCCTTCGAAATCTTTCGAATAGCCGAATTCCTGAAAGATCCTAGTCTCCGTGGCTCCCGGTGCCACCGTCATTACTTTGACGCCAGTCAAATCGTAGTAGAAAGGTTGTCCGTAGCAACGAGTCAAACATACGATGAAGTTTTTGGTCGCGGAATACAAGGGTAAGGCGAACGTGGGATGAATACCGACAATTGAACTAGTGTTTATGATGATACCGCCCGTTCCAGACTTATTCTTGCCCATGAACTCGAAGCCCAGCAACATGCCTTTCATGCATGCTTTCTAGAATAACTATGTGTTGAACAGATCAAGATAGGTGTGGTTCTTATACTCACAGCATTCACATCAATCGTTTCATCCACTTTTTGGTCATTGCAAATGCCAGCGTTATTGATCACAATATCCAAATGACCGAATTTCGATATGGTCTTCTCGAAAGCCCCTAAAATATAATTGTCGACTACATTAATTTTCGAGATTACCACTTTCATTACCTCTAAATTCCGATTCATTCCTAACGTCGACAGTCAAGAACTGTATTTTGTTCAACCCGAACTCATTCTCTATGTTCTTCCCAGATACATCATCCAAATCGAGAACGGTAATTCCCTGAAATAGTTTAATAGTAGTACTTGCAATATAATTCTCATTTATAAAATACCTGAATGTTAGCTTGGATCAATCGCTTAACAATTTCCAAACCTATTCCGTTTGCTCCTCCCGTAATCAATGCAACTTTGCCAGAGAGATTCATAATGTGTTTTGAAATGAAACAAAATATTGTTCGTATTTACTTAAATATTGCATTTACACTTGATAATTGCTAGTTATATATACTTTGCACTCAGGAGACAGATATGATAAGGCGAAGATAACGAAGTAAAATATAAATGAATTCGTGGTTTTCGTTGTTTATCTTTTTTTTTATACTTAAATAAATTACATAAAATTATGTATAGTTTGGCTAGATGACGGTGGACTCCTTGGGTGAAACTTCGTATGCCGGTTTACCGTTCTCGACAACCCAGGTGCATCCGTTCCGACCGTTCTCGATTACTGTAATAAGTGCTGGTCCAAAAACGGATGGACTATAAACAAAATAACAAAATGTATTGTTTGGTTATCTGTGAAATTGTTTGTTGTTCTTACGATTGATGCATTTTGCTGGAGATTGTCGATATCGTGTACGATTTGAGGTCGTCGAAGCCGCGAAGGACGTTAATGTCCTTCAGGTGGTGGGTGTCCGTAAATCCTGGGCATATTGTGAAGACTTTCACGCCTGTAAGGTCGTAGAAGAAGGGTGTCCCCATGCTTCTGGAGAATCCTACCACGAAATGACTGGCACCGGTGTAGAGCGGGAATCCCGCGTATTGTCGTATTCCGGCTACGGAACTCACGTTGATGATGATACCACCGTGTCTTCGCCGATGTTTTCCCATGTACATGAACCCGTAAAAAGTACCGTACATCAATGCCCTCTGCACCACAGTAAAAGTTATTTATTACATGTTTATAATATAAAAAAGCAACATTACTAACGACGTTCGTATTCAATACTTTGTCGACGCTTCGCTCATTGTAAATCCCGGCATTGTTGATCAACAAATCCAATTTATGGTACTTCTTCATCACCCTCCTAAAGCAACCTACAATAATGATAAACAAATTTATGATTGGGCTATCTCAATATATCTGTGGCGAACTTTTAAGCTCAGAATTGTTCTGTACGTTGGTCTTCACGAACATCACGTTATTTCCCAATGTTCTGACCGCCGTCTCTCCTGCCTCTACATTTATATCAGCAATAACGACGCCCTTGAAAACATATGAGGTTATTGATTGCTTTGTGACACGTAGACACAGTAGAGAGTACCAAGAGTTTCTTGTCGGCCAACGTTTTAGCGAACTCGTAACCAATACCAGATGCACCGCCCGTTATTATTGCCACCTTATCCACGTAGTTGTAGTTTTTACCAGTGTCCTTGCCAATGAGTTCGTCCTTGTACTTCTTCAGCTTTTCCTTGTCAAATACCTTTGGCTTCGGTCCTCCTTCGGAATTGCCAATATATATGTTTCGAATTTGGAAAATCTGAACTGGCGGCGGCCAAAAGCGCAGCAGACCATTGAATTTCATACCCGAAGACATGCTACCCTCTTTTGTGACATGGATTGCGAAGCGTCACGAAAACGTCACTGTGATAAAAAAATAAAAACAGACCGACCAAGCCAACTTTACCGAATTAATATAAATACACGTAGAAACGATATGTTTATTTATTACTTTATATAACATTAAAGTATACGAAAATCTAATTTAAAATCTAGTTACATCCTAAAAAATCGTCGGCGTTACTGGTTTAACTTCGTATCCAGGCTTAGAGAGCTCAGTGATCCAAGTGCTTCCATTTTCCCCTTTATTTATAAGATCTATGAGAACCTCGCTGCAGAAGCTAACTCTGAAAATCCACAAATCCAACAAATCCTTTACATGTGTTACCCTGATAGACATGATACACTTATTACGGTTGCGCTGCAAAAGTTGCTATCTTATTATTGGTGTACTCATTCAGCTTAAGCTCTTCAAATTCCTTAAGAGTGGGCACTTTATGGATTAGAACGGTTTCCGTGAATCCGGGAAGGATCGACAAGATTTTAACGCCCGTGTTATCGTAGTAGAAGGGCGATCCAATAGCACGCGAGAAACCTATAACGAAATGCTTGGTTCCGGTGTAGACCGGAAATCCAGCGAATTGCCGCACTCCAACGATTGAAGCCACGTTCACCACGATTCCACCTTTTCCTTTCCTATGTTTGCCCATATGCTTGAACCCAAGCAACGTTCCGTAAATAACGCCTTTCTGTAAATAAATCAATAGATCTTTGTTGTAACAACTAATTCTAATATCTTACATTCTTAAGTAACATTAAATGCACAACTTACAATATTAGTGTCAATCAACAACTCATACCTCTCTTCATCCAAAATCCCAGCGTTGTTGATAACAATATCGATTGTGCCAAACTTTTTCAAAGTCTCGTTGAAACATGCTGGAAAAAAATGTATAGAATAAAACAAAAGCTTCGTCTAAAATTAATCGCACCTTCCATGTCAGATTTCTTCGAGACGTCGGTCTTCAAGTAGATTGCTTTTTGTCCAAACTTCTTGGCGGCGTCCATTCCATCTTTATCATTGACGTCAGCCAAAACGACGCCCTTTACGTAATATTCCGAGAGAGATAAAATGAATGAAAACGCACATAATGCATTCCAAGCTTTCACGAACCTTGATGTTCTTTTCTAAAAGAATCCTGGCGAAATCGAGGCCGATTCCCAGCGAACCGCCAGTGATTAAAACCACCCTGCCATCGAAATTATAGCTGTAACATCTTCGTAGAGCGCTGCCCGCATTTCTTCCGACGATTGCGCCTTTAATCCAAATGGACATTATTCAAATCCACCCTCGTACCTTCTTCTCACAATGGATTAATCAATCTTCTGACGTTCCCTACTTACAAATTAAACTGACGTTAGACTACTTTTGTTTATTCACAATGCTGATACAAAGTTTTGCTATAAATATTTTAGTCCCAATGTTAATAAATGATATTTAATTTTACGAAATTTATAAATTCTGTTTTAATATATTTTCATAATGATGATATATCTTAGGACACATCTGAAAGTTCTCTGATTACAAATATATTTTAATTTTCTTATTACCACGAAAAATTAAATTATATATGTATATGTTATATAACTACTTACATATGAAAATATTACTTATTATTAAGAAAACATTTTAAAGACCTTAAAGAATCTTAATACATGGATCAATAAAAAACAAAATTTTAACTAATTTAAGTTATGAGTAACTCAAAAAGTGTAATTAATATTTTAGTTGGGACAGAAAGACATTTACATGTAATATAATAATTATTATGTGAAAATATTTAATTTTTATTATAATATATCTATATCTAATTTATTCTAGAATGTTGTTACAAATTAGAAGTGCATTTATTAAAATGTGTTTCCAAATACTTAAAATTATTTTTATTGTTATACAAGTTTGGTTTAAATTGATGTGGGCATATCTGGTTTGTGCTCGTACGGGGGTTTGTTTTCAGCAACGACCCAAGTGCTTCCGTTCGCACCTTCCTTCATGATAATTATCGCCCCTTTGGCTGCGTGCTCGGCCCTAAAATTTTCATGTTTATCGAAGATCCAAGAGTTAAGTTCAAGAAAGTTACGTTTGCGGTATTAACTTGGAGAAGTTCTGTTGCATGTACTGCGGGAGGCCTTCCATGTCTTCCAACCCCTGAGCACCCAGAGGCATCGTGGTCTCCGTCATACCCGGGCATACCGTGACTAATTTGACACCTGTCAAGTTGTAGTAGAAGGGAGTTCCGAGGGCGCGAGTCAAGTTATTAACGAAGAATTTGGTGGCCGAGTAGATGGGAGCGCATGGGTTTGGTTGCACTCCGAAGATAGAGCTTGTTGACATAATAATTCCTCCTTTTCCTCCATGGTTCTTTCCCAAATATCTAAAAGCCAACAATACTCCATCCACAACGGCATTCTGAAAATGTATGCTTAATTTATAGTTTATCAATAAATAACCAATTCAATTTCTGCACTTACAATATTAACATTAATCGTGAGACGCCAATTCCTTTCGTTGAAGATGCCTGCGTTGTTACAAACTATATCCAATCCGCCGAAAGTGCTGATCGCCAGTTTAAAGCTATCTAAAAGTATCAAATAAAGAAACAATTAATTATATACAAGCAAGGTACGGTTTGTCGTCTGGTTGATTGCGTTTGCTGTTCTGCAATTTTACCTTCCAGTTGAGCGGAATTCGTGACATCGGTCCGGATGAAACATGTTCTATCAGTTCCCAACTCTTTTACAGCATTCTCGCCAAGCACGACGTTAATGTCCGCTATAACGACGCCCTGCAACATAAAATTTTATGATTTTACGAGACGGAGACCCGACGACCAATAAAATATTATTACATATTACGTAACATTGCATTCAAAATTGCAAGTGAAAACAGATGAAATGAAAAAAGAAGATTCCTTATTCTTCTAAAAACAAGTGCAATTTGTAAAGATTCTAAATGAGAACGCGATATTGAATTTTTCATGGTAATTTGATCTTTTTGTAATATCATTCTGAAAGCTAATGTTTTATTACGAATATCGCTGTCGCGGTAGAATTTCAGTTTCCAACAAAAATAATCTCTTTGGATTATAAAACACTTGAACATGATGTAAAGTTTACATTGTAAACTACTTATCTATAAACGCATAGCAATTAAAACAAATGGAGACTTATAATTACTGCTAATCTTTATACTCGTGTAATTTACATTCTAGAATTATTATTTCAACTAACAAACAGTTTGTTGTTTCTAAAAAAAAATGTATTTAAAAGACTTTTAGCAAATGTAAAACTTCTTAATAACAACTATGAAGATTCAAATTCAACTTATCTGTTATTTTGATGTTATGTAATTATTATGGATCTAAAAACAAATATTTACTAATAACTACTTCTGAATTACTTTTAAATATTGCTTAATTAAATATGATTGATAATATTGAAATGATGTAGGACAATATAACATACATTTATTTATTTATTTATTACATAACTAAATATAAAACATTGGAAAATTACTTCACATGCGATTTAAATTATAAGTATCTGAGGTGACTTGACTGACCTTGACTCCATTTAGCAAAAGCTCTTTAACGATGCAGAGACCGATGCCGTCGGCACCACCAGTAACAACGGCCACTTTACCATTAAAATCGTAACCCATTTTTAGATAATTCTCTAAGTTTTCGCATTCGAAACTGCGGTCGGAGCTGTAATCTCGACCGTTTTATAGCTAACACAAGTCGTGAAGATGAGTGGACAACAAATTAGAATTTGATTATTGCAATGGCTCACAGCTTGGATGACATACAAATTAATTACTAGTTAGATAACACTCGAGGTCAATATGGAATTTGTGCCAATCATCATCGCAGTCGTCATCAATAATGTCGCATCGCAGCCAGTATATGCGAATGAAGACTTTCGGCAGCGTCTTTTGCCCAGAGGTAGTCCAAATGTGTGAACCTGGAGAGCCTGTGCTTAATTACGATGTTGGGCAGCTCACGTGATATCCTTTCTACGTCCTGCAGCGAATCGATAAATAAACAGTTTTTAATCTGGATTTAGAGTAGTTATCAGCACACTTACTGCTTCCGTCGATAACCAATCGTTTCCGCTGTAGAAGAACGCCATCGGAAGGGTCACAAGGTCGAGATTATATTTTAGTGGTTCCCTTTGTCCGTATCGTCGCTCATTCTCCTTCGGTCCCAGATCGTACGACTGGAATATACCTAAAGAAAACATTCAATTTTATTGACATTTTTCACTGAACCTGATAAATTATTCTATTAATACTCATTAACATATATAATGTTATGAATATGGCTATTCTTTATAATATGAATTGTTTAATTATTTTCAATCACGGATGATTCATAGATAAATTATTATTAATAATTTGTTATTCTAAACTTAATTTACGCATTATGTAATGAATTATTTACATTTATAAATCATTATATCTCATGCAAAATTCGAGACTATTTTTCTCTATGTGATAACTAAAATAATATTAAAAAATAATTTATAAACTTGATAAAAAACATAGATGATTTATCAAATCTATTTAGTTTTTGTTGTTGTTGTTAAAATATTACGTCATGTTATAATAAATTTAAATTAGTAAAAGGTGTGTTGGTAAAAGTGTCGTAATAGTTTATGCATTAATAAAGAAAATACCATTTAATGTGCAATGACCGAGTCCAACAAATTTACTTTCAATCTCATGTTAATGAACCGCTCAAGTTGTTTGTTTCTTTACTTTTCTTACTTCTTCCATTCTTAAGCATTATTTTAATAAGATATATTTTAATATTTGTTTTAATACAAATGGCTTGTTAAGAATTACCACTTCCGTAGAAAGTGTTAAAAGACCTTGCTCTAAACAATTTGAATAAGTGAAAATCGATCAGTTGTATGTAGCGGTTACATTTTTATTTTACCTGTATTGAAGTTTTGCGTGATGTGGAGCAGTTGCTTTAGCGAACCGCCGGCAGGCATGTTACTCAGGAACATCGGAAGAAGATCCTGTGTGAAATGATAATGCGTTATTCGCGCGATGAAAATGCAAAAAGCGTACTTACTGCATCCAACTGTTCCGAATTGAATCCGACCATCGATTGTACCATCGCGTGACATATTGACTGAAACGGTGATCCTGGTCTGCATCCCATGTAGGTGATGTTCGCAATTAGATCGCTGTGCCTGCCAATCTGATTAATTCCCAACCTGTTGGCCATCGTCTGAAAGGAAATCATTTAAATTTATTTCTTTTACCATCGATGTATTCGACTTTAACGCACCACTATTTGGCGATTGTAATTACGGATCATTCCGAAGAGAAGATTTTTCTGTCTTATTCCATAGATAACAGGAGCTAAATTGATTCCCAGTCGGATTCTTTTATTATACTGTGGGCGGAGTGCGACCGTTGCGTACATAATCATATTACCCTGAGAATGGCCCACGTAGAATATGCTCCTCTCGTTCGTCACCTCAGACACGTAATCGATCATTGCAGGTACATCGTATTTGGCCATCTCATGCAAGCTTTAACGAAAATGAAAAATTATTCAGAATTTTGATATATGCCACAACTTCTATCTGGATTAATATTATCACAGAAGTTACAAGCAACACTTAGTCAAATATTTGAAATCAATGAATTTATTTCGAATTATTTTTAGAAAACGTTAATAGTAAAGGAGATATTTGGCTTACAATGAAGATTATTCAGAAATAATCATGCTATTAGCTCTATAGAAATTATGATTACCTGAAGTCCCAAAAGAGTGGATCATCCGGTGAGAGGGTCGTGTGATTCCTGCTCCAGGTGGTCCCACGTGCATTGGCCAACCACACGTCATATCCGCTGTCGGAGAGGAGCAAGCCCAGTGCTCTTCCGGGACCGGCGTTGACCCAGTCGACAGAACTAAGCAGTAATCCATGGAACATAAGAACTGCTCCGGCACCAGATCTGCGATCCGACAACCCTAAGCCCCTCGGAGCGATTCGATGCAACGTCAGGATGTACCCGTCCTCCGTTACTACATTATGTTCCTCCGACTGATATCCGTACCTTCGTGATATTTCCAACTAGAAAAGACCCATCGAGAAAAAGCAAATAAATTAATAACAAAGGCAAAACTCTTCACTTCAATCTTACCGTATTCAATCCATAGTCGGGATGTTTTCTACTCACATCGGGCGGTACTGTGACCAACAAAAAATTGGACACTAACAACAAGAACGATTGAAACAGTCTTCCTCCCAGACCGTTCTCCATCTCAATCCTAAATGTCAAAGCATATCCCGAATTAAGACCAACAAGCGTTATTGCTTAATTTCGTTCCGACGTATCCGAAGAACTTTCACACACAACTGGTCGTAACTCCTATCATTTCATATAATATTATCAATTATGTAAAAATCTCCTGCGCTATGAGCAAGAAGGAATATCACTTTCTAAGTGCAACGTAAGTTTCCAAATCTACGCTCCATTATGTGAAGTGAGGTTTGAAAACATTCAATGCGGAACTTTCTCATTTCCTAATTGGATTTATTTCCTGTTAATCTCATTAATTATGTAAAGAATTGTCAATGACGAAAATTATCATTATTTATTAAAATTATAATTACACTTACCAACTTAAAAATAAACATTAAAAAGCCTTAAGATATGATATTTAGATTGAATATTAATGCAGCTATGTTTTGTTTCTTCTGTTTAGATTTTACTGGGACCTCTGCATGCTGCTTCTTCTGGTGGCGAATCTGATCATCCTGCCCGTAGCGATTAGTTTCTTTAACGATGATTTGAGCACTCGATGGATTGCGTTTAATTGTCTCTCTGACACAATTTTTCTCATAGATATCGTCGTCAACTTTCGAACAGGTGGAGTAACTGAGCGCGTCGAAGCAAAATCGCGGCAACGTAATATACTTTACATATATCCATTTTATTCAGGTATTATGCAACAAGACAACGCGGAGCAGGTGATTCTCGACCCGAAACTGATCGCCAAACATTACTTGAGAACGTGGTTTTTCCTCGACCTCATCTCGTCCATCCCTCTAGATTATATATTTCTTATATTCAACCAAGTAAGTATGCTAAACGAGCAACATCTGTTCTGGAGATATAAGCTTCCTAATCTTTCGAAAACCGTAGCATACACTGTTGTAATAAGTACTTAACGAACTAAAGTCTATATACTTGATTAAATTTGCATCAACAAATAAACTTCATTACAATTACATCACAACTCAGTTCATAAAAAGGATGCGAATTATAAGATCCGGTAACACCTCGACAAGATTAGGAAGAGCAGTTGTGAAGCAAGTGAATTCCTTCGTAAACTTAATTAGAAAAAAGAACGCTACTTATTTACAATGTATCTTAATTAAACTCGAAATTGTAAATACGACATTTTTAATTAAGTTGACGAAAGTACTTGGATATCATTGTTGTAATTGAATGCGAACGTATTGCATTTAGACTCGTTGTTTGTTTATTTTATTGGCTTGTTTGGAATCGTTGAGATTCAACAGGAGGCTAACAATGTTTGACTCCGCGGTCGGTGGAAGCTACAGCGAAGATTAAACAATTAAACGTACAAGTGTGTTTACTTTACTAATTAAAATTTCGGGCAAATACGATTACATTGTACGGCATGAGCATGCTTAGTTTGTGTTATTAAAATTCGACGTGGCAGCAAAAGATGAGTAAAATATATTTAACGATATATTTATAATAATCTTAATATACTTTAAGTTACATCCACACTTTACTGAACACAAATAATTTACAGATTTTATGTATATAAAGGGTGTCCCAAAATTAACGCAAGATTTTAATTAAATAGGAAACACAGTTTTTAGTCTTCAGATTGTGATTTTTTTTATTAAATCATAAAATTCAAATGGCGGCAAATTCAAATCTTTCGTTAATTTTGGGACACCCTTTATAAGACTTGGTAAGACAGTGCGGATGAAGCATAACACTTATATTCGTCTTTAAATTTATCTATATATATATATCAACATAATTAGTAAGACTTAATGAATTGATAGAACCTGTGTCTATGTCTGTGCATGCAATTGATGGGGAATGTTTGTTTCTCGATGTTGCATCTATAAATCCCTAACCCATTCTTGGAACCAGCGATTTCAATTATGTCGCTGATGATATCTCTGGATATATATATGCAGAGATATCATCTACCAAGATCTGAAGATTTAAACGTGAATTTCACTGTGTTTTCTTCCTTGAATCGTACAACCCTCTCTGTTTGTGAGGCCCATACTTACTGTTTGCTAGATTTGCTGGGCTGTAGATGTTCATTAGCGAATTACCAGAGATATTAAACCCACTGTTCCAGGATTTCGGCGACAGTTTCCAAATCCTGCACGCGGGACGCGCCTTGCGCATCCTGCGTCTTGCCAAGCTGCTATCCCTCGTGCGCCTGCTGCGACTCTCCCGCCTCGTTCGTTATGTCAGCCAATGGGAGGAAGTCTACGTAAGTACCCGCCCACTTTCATTGCGAGTTTTTTTTTCTCATCCTTGATTCTTACTATTATAATTATTACTATTGTTTGTTTGGTTTTTTTTTTCTGTCTTGATTACCGTTTCCGTTCAATTATATCGTTTTACAGCTTCCATTATTTCCGCACTAAAATAATTTGGTACATTTATAAACATAATTATTTTTTTGCGATTTCAATTGTACCGGGGAATCATCCTTCGGGGTTACGGGAGTAATGGAGGAAAGAAGCTTTTTGCCGAGCTTGGAATGCGCCCAGGCTATATAATACGTATATTTTGTTTTCTTTTCTAAGCGCGCGCCTTTCTGTTGTTCTTAATGTGTTTCATAATAATTTATAATTAAAGTTCAGAAGACTTTAGGGATTTCTATCAAATCCACCGTGCACTTGTTTTACCAACTTAGATTTGGGCTTTTATTTTTTATGGTCACCATCACTGTTTTTTAATTTTTCCGTTTTTAATTTAATTTACTTTCGTCTCGTTCCTATTGTGTGTTTTTTCTCTTTTATATTTCCGTTTCCTGTGTGTCTTATTACGTCTCGTGATATAATTTCATATATAATAACTCACAAAAAATACATACAACAAAAACATTAGCAACAACAATAACAAATCATCAATATTAGAAGTAAACAGTGTGTGTATGTTGGCAACACTTTTTGGTGATACATTTTTTTTTTTAATTTTATGTTATATATAAGAAGGTGTATTTTACGTAAGATTTGGGTGTTGACAGCGCATTGGTGTGTTTCTCTTTTTCTCTATGTGTGTTTAGTTTAAGAACAATTCTGAAGTGGTGTTGTTTCCATTTTGTTTTTGAGCAAAATATTTTGGTGTGGGCCGCAGATCCCCATGTACCAACAACCTCAAGGCAGGCAGACCGATTTTGCCGAAGACGGTACCCCAATTACCCCACCCAGAGACAGGACCACCGAGGTGCTTTCAAAACACGTTTTTCTCACTACTTTAATGTTATTCTTTTTATTTTATTTACATAATTTGTGTGTTTTTCTTTTGTGTTCCCTTATGATTTCGTTTACGTTTCCTTTCTGTATTCTGTGTGGTCGTGAGTCAGAGAAAAGAAAATCTTAAGTGGACACCTGAGCGCTGCTTTTAATATATTACATATGTTGTGATTTGGTATGAGAAGTTTAGTATGTCCAATTATTTTCAAACAGAATTTAAAAAAATAATCAGTGGGCTTCCTTATTTGGTTGGCTTTAGAAGTTCTTTTTTGTTTGTTATTAAATGTGTTTACTGTGTGTATGCGTGTGGATGCGCCGGGTCATTATTCTTAATGGAATGTAGATGTTTAGCGGGTTTTAGTCGTCTCAACGTATTTATTTCTAAATGTGTTTTGATTAGAGTTTTTCTTTTGTTTTCGTTTGTATGTATGCTGAGAAATGTTGTTGCATCTTGATCATTTTTGTTGTTACTATTATTATGATTGATATACACTTCGAGTATTGAAAGTATTCGATAAAGAAAAGTATTCACACGCAAAAAAAGAAATTGAATAATCCACTACATGATATTCTTGCATATTGTGTCTTCTCGCCATCCGCTCTTTTCCCTTTATTTTTCATCGATGGCTGAGGATGCTGGGGCTCCCTTGATATGTTTATTTGTTGTTTACGATTTGTTTGTGTTGCAGAAACGAATTGACGCACGTTCGTTGTGTAGTGTTACTTAAATGTTATGAGAATCTAGGGGACGTTGTAGATTGGAACCCAAATGTGTGTTGAACCCATTTTTTTTTTGTGTTGATACCATTTTGTTTTTAGTTTCTTTAATTTGTTGTTGTTCTTTACCTTGTCACGGCTTTCTTGTAAGTTGATGTTTTTTAATTATTTTATTTTTGTTATGAAGGTGTTTTTAGACTTAAATTGATTAACCTTAGTGGATCGCAGATGGTTAAACAGAGAGAGAGACATATATCTTTTATTTTCGTCCACATGTTGTTTGGTGTTTTATTCCTCTCTCACAGCTTTTTGCAGGCCGCAAATACTCATAAATTCATGTTGCTAAAAGAAAAACGAAAAACCTATACATACATTCTCCACATATCGACATAAAGACTCCATTATATTTTCTGTTTTGAATATCTTCTGATATCTATAATACTTTAACGAAGTTTTAGTTACCTTCCTTATATTTCTACTTCACTTTTGTGTGTTTTTAATATATCAAACCATTTTTATTTTTCATTTTATCTTTACAAAATCTTCCTTTTTCTTTCCTCCTCTATTACAAAAAGGGACAACATTTCTTTGATTTCTTTTATGTTTAAATAACTAATATAAATTCATATTTGCTGTATCTATATATCTTTAATTAACTTTATCATATGTGCGATAATCACAATTCACTCATTGTTATTTTTTATATTCAAAGATTCATCTGCATGGTAAGTCAAATTCTTTTATTCACTCTGCAGATTTCTTTTTCTACTTGCAATTTGATCTTCTACTTTCTTTAATTTTAACTTGATCATGTTAATTCTTCTTGAAAATGTAATTAATCAACTTGTAAATATTTCTATTTTGCTTTGCATTGGTTGTCTTAATTGAGCTAAAAGAAAAATTTAATTAAAAATTTAAATAGTTATTTGCATACTAACATTATTTGGAATTTTATAAATCGTAATTTTAATTCAATAAAGACAATCAAATTACTTTTTATCTATGTCCAATTATTGCTGTCATTCAAATCGTTTTGCTTTTCTTTTTGATTTCACTGCTCATCATCATCACATTCGCATTTAGACGAAGCAATTTTGTCCCTTTCATTCTTTGTAATTCAATTGTTTTCGAATTTGCTGTCAACAATTCGTTGTCAATGATCACGCTTTAATCCGTGTTTTGTTGTATCCGCCTCTATCTCTCTGTATCTTAACTATAGCTTATATTGTTGGACCATTTCGCTTTGTGCATTGAATGTTCTATGGCATTAATGCAGTTGTTTTCTTTTCGTTTTGTTAACTTCTTTTAGTTTCTGTTGTTCTTGAATGCTGCGCTCTTGTCCGTGTTCGCTTCAAGCACTGCACAAAAGTTAATTAATATATTTAAACTGAATATAATTACTAATGTATTAAACTCTGTTTCAAGTTCTAATTTGATTTATTATTTTATTTTCTCTGTCTTGTTTTTTTTTTTTTTTTACTTTTATCTATCGTTTATTGGTTTGGGTTTTACTTTTATTTATATTCTCATTTCTTTCTTATTTTTGTTTTTGATTTAAGTCGTACTTCTCTGGAATCTTTCGTTCCACGCTTTTCTCTACTACCTTGTGTTCTTCGCTTTTTCTAGATCTTGCAGAATCTTCAAAAAAAGCGAACGGAACGAAGGGGGCGCCTCAGTTCGGAGGTCAACAAGTCTAAATACAGCAAAAGCAATCTGATATTTAAGGTAACACGCTTGGAGCTTGCTTCAGCCTTACGCATGACCGACCGTGGCGCCTCTGCTTCCTTTTATTTCTCATTTATCGAGATTTCGAACAAAAATAAATATACCAAAACAAACAATAACAACAATTACATAATATATTTACATCATACTTGATTTTTGTTTTGTTTATGCTACGAAAATATATGAAAAGAAATTCAACCTCGAGCGGTAAATAAACACGTTTTATTGTCGCTTCCGAATTCCGTTTATATAATTCTCTATCTATTTTTGGTTTGTTTTCTACTTCATTTAATTACTTGTAGAAGTGCATGCGACACACATATTATATCTCTCTATCAAACACATATAGACTCATTCACACATCATACATGTTCTCTAGACACACTCCACTGTTCGATTACGGAACAAAGTTAACAAATTTCTCTGCATGTGTTTACTTCCGTTTTTCTTACAAATCTAATTTAGAACAATGCGAGGTAAGTTTCGTTGGACTTTCGTCCCGTTTTTCTTTTCTAGTTTCGTGAAGAGTTACAGCTTTAAGCTTTTTTTTTTTTATAATTCTCTGTTCATTTTAAATACACATATTTGTCTACATTGGTCTGGTGTTTGGTACATGGGTTGTGAACGGAACCGTTTTACACATATACACAAAAGATAACGTTTTTCATCGGACAGTTTGAACATGCACGAGACGAAAAAGGAGAGAAATTCGGGATAATCTACACACATTTTTCAGGCATATTTTTGACACACAAGAATTACTAGCTACAAGAGACACAATATTCTAAACCTAATCTAATTTGCGCTTCGCTTTCCTTTACTGTCGAGTACACACATTTCTAGTTTTCATATTGATACGAAGTAAATCTTACATTTTGACTTTTTATTTCCGCGGTATTTATGACACCATTACGTATGGCACATTCCACGAAATAATCAAAACACGTTAAATTTTTCTTATTTGTTATTGTTTCGTTTGTTACTTTTGATATGAATTTCAATAAACGTTCGCTCTAGTAAACTATATACAAATTAAACAAAAAACTTGCGAAGTATACGAACCTTCTGCTGCTTTTCCTTTCTTTTGTTGTTTTTTTTTTTCTTACCTGTATCTTGCTGGAAGCTTTGAGAAATCTTATTTGTCTGCTTTCTGCTTTATTCTCGCATTATTTTGGTTTGCTTCGTAATCTGTTTATTTAGTTGTTGATGCAGTGGCTTTCAATTGTTTGCAATTGCGATGCGAATACTAAGGTAACAACAGCAAAACTGAGTTTCGTTGGTATTAAATATGTCTTATTTATTGTTTCGCTATTTTGATTTTGATAGAAAATAAAATAATAAAACAAAAACAAAAGTATAAAATTAAAGAAAACTCCCCAGAACGAGACAGCAGGAACAATTGAACTTGGTTTCTTCTTGAATTGTTTATTTATTTGTCGATTGTTTTGATGTACTGTTGTATTCTTCTTATATATATATATATATACAGGCTTCTTATTACTATTTGTTTTATAATTTGGTTTCTGATTTTAGCTACGCTCCAGTTTTGTTTTTATTATTATTTTTTTTTATCGTACATTTTCGTTTAAAATTTATTTTGAACATAGTTGAAAAGTTTATTTATTTTACAATATTTATCTATACACACTTAAATATATGTTTTGTGTTTCAGCATTTTTTTATTGAATGAACAATTATTTAACGAAATTTTCGATTCACGAACACATTTTATATGATTTTTAGCATGTTTAATATCGATTTATTGTTTGTTTAGTATTTTCTGATATTAATTCAAAGAACAAAGTAGGTTGAAACAATTACATAACAACCTATATTAGAAATAAGATCCTACTGTTTTGTTGTTGTATAGGTTGCTGTGGAATGTTTTTATAACTTGTGGTTGTATACTAATTAAAGCTAGTTTTTTTTTTATAAATAATACACAAATTCATTAGACATGTTTTAGAAGTGTTCGTGATTCGATCAATTAATTATTTATCTATTTATTTACATATTCATGGTGATGATTTATTTATTGAAATGATTCAATTGAAACAAGATCGTCACCTTGTATATTGTTCTTAAAAGTAGTACCTCCTTCGTCGTACTTCCATTTTGAATTATATCATAAAATTTACGATACAGTTTCTAAATTCTGGGGAGCACGACGTAGCGAGGTTTTATGATTTCGTTGTAACTTTTATTTATGTATTTTCCTAAATGTTGTGTCGCTCATCTAATTTCGATGAACTCATAAGAACTTTGGTTTTCTACGTTGTGTTTCAGTTTCTTAATATGGCCAGTGTTTTCATGCGGATTTTTAATTTGATTTGCATGATGTTGCTCATCGGGCATTGGTCCGGGTGTCTGCAATTTTTAGTTCCCATGCTGCAGGGATTCCCATCTAATTCATGGGTTGCCATCAACGATTTACAGGTAATTCTCCTATTATATAATGTATTATTTTTAATACTAATTATTAACATGTAGTAGTCTAACTTGTTTCGATATATAGTTTCCGATCTAATAAGTGATTTATTTTCAAATACTGTTCATAACATATGTTTATAAGAGCTATGAGCTCTCTGACATTTGTAATATGTTTGGTAAATTCTTCCCTGGAATAAACTGTTTTATGGTCTACACCCCTTCATTTCTCAGCGCGCCACTTAAATCTTCCGCGAGAAGAGCCGAAGGATTAAATATATACAAATGCAGAAAAGTAGATGTCGTAAATTCCAGCTCGAAAGACTACGGCGGACTAAACGTTAATAAATAATCACCGTGGATTATTTATGCCACTTTTATGTGCGCTCTAATTCATTGTTCTAAGTCCCGTGCAATTTCTGTTTCCTTTTAGACTTTTATTTAATTTTGAAAATGTGTCAGAAATGTAACGCATTTAGATAATTATAACACAAATAACTGAAATGAAATGGAAAGTTACAGACTTTGATTCCGATGATTTGTTTTTTTTTTATGAAGACAAAATATGCTGAAGAAATGTATTGGAATATTTGCAGGAAGCTTCATGGTTAGAACAGTATTCCTGGGCGTTATTCAAAGCTATGTCTCATATGCTGTGCATCGGTTACGGCCGTTTTCCGCCACAATCGCTGACTGACATGTGGCTAACGATGTTGTCAATGATCTCCGGAGCCACGTGCTATGCCCTTTTCCTGGGTCATGCCACTAACTTGATCCAAAGTTTGGATTCATCACGTAGGCAGTACAGAGAGAAAGTGAGTTATATAATAATAATTGAAGAAAACATTTGTAACAATTTATTACCACAAATTGCGTATTAAACAAATAATTAAGTATAATAAAAGTATTGAATGTTGAATTATGTATTTGTATCTTAGGTGAAACAAGTGGAAGAGTACATGGCGTACAGGAAGCTCCCTCGGGAGATGAGACAGAGAATCACCGAGTACTTTGAACACAGGTATCAGGGGAAGTTCTTCGACGAGGAGTGCATCCTCGGAGAGTTGTCCGAGAAGCTGCGCGAAGACGTGATCAACTACAACTGTCGATCACTGGTGGCCTCGGTTCCTTTCTTCGCGAACGCCGACTCGAACTTTGTCTCCGATGTGGTCACTAAGCTTAGATATGAAGTCTTCCAACCAGGTTAGATTAATCATAACTAACTAATATAGCAGCCACGCATCTGACACGACCACCCTTGCTTTTTACAGGTGATATTATTATAAAGGAAGGTACAATTGGTTCAAAGATGTACTTCATACAAGAGGGCATAGTAGACATCGTGATGGCTAATGGTGATGTGGCGACCAGCCTGAGCGATGGCAGCTACTTCGGAGAGATCTGTCTGTTGACGAACGCTCGGCGCGTCGCTTCCGTCAGAGCTGAGACCTACTGCAATCTCTTCTCGCTGTCCGTGGACCATTTCAACGCCGTGCTGGATCAGTACCCGCTGATGCGACGGACCATGGAGTCGGTAGCCGCGGAGAGGTCAGTGCGTTGGTTGGTATAAGAAACCCAAGAAGGTTTTATTGAATTACTTACTAATTATTTGGATCGTTCATCGCTTCTTTGTTGTCTGCTGCTGTTTCCAAACTACAAATTCCAATCCACCACATTGTTTATTTAACTCCAATCCCATTTGGAAAACAAAAATTCAATTAGACCCATTATTTGCAAATTTCTCTTTATTTCTCTTCAATTCTATTTCTCCTCAAGTTCTACTTTAACCCTTTCAAAGATAAATTGCAATTTAATTTTACTATATCTTATTAAATCAATACATTTATAGATGACCTAGTTGTTCTTTTTTTTTTTTACAAATAAATATCTATATTACGATATTTTTGGCAGAGCTTGCGTTTCTTCTCAATCAACTGCACGGACTTTGAAAGAGTTAGAGCTTTTCTTCAATAGTTTACTATTTGTCACATAATTCTTGACACCTTTTGAAACACATTCGATTATCGTTTCTGTTTTGTTATTCTTTGGTTTCGTCACAAACACAGACACACAAAATCATGGGCGATGCAACTGAAAGAAAGTGATCATACGAAATACTATTTAATTCAATAAAACACAAACACGTGATCTTTTACCAACTAAAATATATTTTAAAAAAGAAACCGCAAACAAAACGAGAATTCCTGTATTACATTTTCTTACTGGGACTTCTTTGCCAGAAATCAGCAATTACTCATTGTATTTTCTCTTTTCTACTTGCAGGTATTTATTAATAAGACGACGAGGCAAAATTTTAGAAAAGCAAAAAAAAACACTTACGTTTTCGATGATCGGTGAAGTATTTTCGTTTCATATTATTTCTCTATAGCACCCATTTATTTGCTCACTAACGAGTCGATTTCAGAACTACCAGTTGCATCTCGCTGTAATATTTTGTTTTGTTGATAATCGACTATATAATATTTTTTATCAATAAAATCATAGTTAAATCCATTATTGACAAAAGAAAAACAGCTATTTTTGATGCAAATTGCAGTTCTAATCTCACTGTAAATTTTGTTTTTTTTTCTTCAAAAAGACTAACAAAATTTATAGTTAGCGGAATATTAATTACAGCAAATATATTTAAAGTTTCTATAAAGTAAGGCTTACCTTTAGTGCTCCAATAAATCAATTCGTTTAAAGCTAATAACAAAATAACCAAATTATGAATAGTCATATGCTTTTCCAATTTGAAACTACCTTACTTCTGATCGAAGATTTGAAAGATCTTGAAAGAACCAATAAATGCAAGATTTATAATATATCTCATACGAATCGAAAACAAAACTGCACCCATCTCACACCTAAATATTTATACTGTAAACACATATTATATTAGACTGTTATTATTTATTATTACTTACCAATTGTAATCACTCTTTGAGCCTTAATACTTTATTTTATTTTTTTAAACATGCTTTACTTAATGATCTTCTAAACACAATTTGATTTGTATTCTTAAGTAAAACAGACTTAGTTTTTTTTTATGCAACAACAAGATTGTTATGATAAAGTTAAGCTTATTAAAGGGTAATTTCGGATTCAATTATATCAGTGACTGTAAAATCCAAAATGTTTTCTATTACTCTAAATGTTATATATTTGGCTTCAATTGCAAATTTAATTAATTTGTGGTTATTAATTAAATGATTGTGTTTTTTGGTCATTGATTTATCGAAATCGAAATAGTTGTTACATAGTGTATTTAGATCTCTTTTGATCTATGTAACATGGCTTGCTTTATTTTTACCTAATTGATGTTGAAAAATATTTGGTGTTAACTATTTGATTTGTGTTTAGGTTGAACAAGATCGGAAAGAATCCGAACTTGGTGACTCATCGAGAGGAAGACCTGGGCAGCGAGAGCAAAACGATAAACGCCGTGGTAAACGCGCTTGCTGCGGAGGCGGACAACGTGAATATGTCGGACGAGTCGATAGCTCGTCTTCACTCGAGCGACCACAGCCTCCAGGAACTCGGGAGGACGTTGCAGAAGATGTCCACACTGCCCAGGCCAAAGTCGGAGAACAATTTCGCGTCGCAGGATATACCGTTGTCGCGCGGTGGCAACGACCACAACGGCAGACCACCCTTCCACAAATCGGATACCTTTCACAAGGAGTCTGCTTTCCAATGACGGCACTCCACGCACTAGTGCTCCTCTGCTCTAAATATATCTTTATCTCAGTCCACGCCATGGGCGCAGCGACAACTACATCCTACTTCTTCGAAACCTTCAACAACATCCACTCGTAGTACCACAGCAACTATTTTTCTTCATCCATCCCAAACAACATAACTTTCAGTAACAAACTAGAGTGCGTGTGCGTATCAGCAAAAAGGAAATCCTCACAAACAAATTATAAGATAACGATGAGAGAAGAACACCGTTTCTTCATAAACAAAACAAAACATAACAGAATCGATTCCACCTATATATTACTTGTATACTACTTGTATAGTAATTATTAAATAGAAAGCAATACGTGTGCTACATGGACACTAACGAAACGCTAGTAATGTGCAATATTAGATAACTTATATTTTATGTTTAGCTTAACAAGGAAAGAAAAATATATTGTAGAAAAGAGGAAACGGAAGGAAAAGCACACAATATGTTTATTATGTGCTTAAAGAAAATATATATAATTAAGGTTTAAGTAAGCCGAATATACCTTGATAAAATATACTCAACTCAACTGGTTTTACGCGAAACTTCGCTCATTGTCGCCCCGGTTTTTGGTTCACACGGTTATCCCTTTAAAAATTTCTCTTCGGTTGCTTTGTTAATTTAATGAATTGCGAAAACTAAACAAACTTGTTGCATAATAACTATCAGATTTATTTCCAAATGAAATAACTACTGCAAGATCTCTCTGAGCAACACACTAGAGCAAATAGCTTAATATTTGTAATCATTGGTTGGAATGTTGATTGGAGGTATTACAGTGAAAGAAATCATTTCATAAAAATTTTATTTTCAAACATAAAGGTTCCGAAAAAAAAAGGTGGATGCTCCGGGATTTTTAATGAACGGATAGCGAAACATCACAAGAGCCTATTAAATCTTTAAAAAGCAACTATTTTACAATATGTTAGGTTTTAGAGTACAAATGTAAGCGAATTCACGTTTTTGGATATGAGCGGGACGAAGGTAAATCAAAATGTGTGTGTTTGCAAGGGAAGGTGTGAAAAGGAATTTAATATCACTAACATTGGAATTGAACATTTCTCGAGTGCATCGGATGGAATTAGTCAATTAATTAAATACAAAATGGAACTATGTTAAAGGCATCATTTGAACCTCGAACAGGCCAAACAAACGATTCATATTTGTAAATATCGTGAATACTGTATATACTTATATTATATAAATAACTTATTGTTTCATTCTCATTTCCGAAGCGACAAAGAAAATAATGCAAGAAGAGAAAACCAAAAACCGTGGTCCTGGCTCTTATGTATTGTTGTTCATTTAATGTTCGATTATTTTGGAGGCGTAAGAGAAGTTTATCGTGCACACTGTACTAATGAGAGTATCACGCACCCCTTGGGACCTCCGAATACTTAACGGAGGTGGAATGTTATTAATGAACTTGAGTAGGCCTAAATTGGAAATAATCGTACGATGGTAATATTTTTTTTGTTACCGTTTCAGTTACATCGGCGTAATAGTAAATTGCACTAAAAAAAAATTATTAACATACATATATTTAATTAATGAATAAATTAATTAAGTAATGGAACACTGTTTAGCTGTGATCTTTAAACTTGAAACAAGAAGAAATAATGATATAAATTTTCCATCAGATCTTATCTTATTATTGGATTTGAATTTTCTTATTGATCATAGTGGAAGAAACATGAAGTTCGAAGAAAACGGGAAGGAAGTAGATGATATAAATTATACTAGCGTAACATTCGCTTCGTGTTTTCGTAACGACTTACTTCAATTTTTTTTTATTTCGTAGTTGTGTCACTCGAAAATGGCTTGCGCATTCTGAACGAAAAGTGATTGAAAATCAAAAAATATATATAAATCGAACAGATATTCCTTTTTTTTCTTTATTATTAGGGTGCCTTTGTTTCGTTGAGAATGTATATGGAAACTTAGTGATATGCGCAATTTTCCTTCATAATCAATAACGAAACCGAATCACCGAAGACTATGCAAAATTGGTTGCCTACTTTAAAATGATTTATATATATGTTGTTAAATTGTAGCTATTATTTATATATAATTGTTGTTATATTATATACAAACAGTGTAACATCATTATTATATATTTCAAGTTTTTATTAAATTGTTTCAAACTGGATTTAAATAATTTTAGTTAGAATTTGTTTGTTTGCCGTAATTTTGAAATTTCGACAACCAATTTTGGCAAATTTTCGGTGATTATAAATTTGTATATCTCAAGATATAAAAATGAACTAAAAGAAAAATACAAAAAAAAAACAAGTAGATGACTGATAATTTTAGATTTTTACGTTTTTGTTTATTTTTGTTACATAGTGGTTGTCGCTGTGAAAAGACTTGTTTTTTTTTATATACATTGAATGAAATATGTAGAGACAGTAAAAATAATATATTAAGGAAGATGCTTAGTCAATTACAGCTTTTTGGAGTGAGTAAATTGAATGGAAATCCAACGAAACAGAAATAGTAATAAAGATATTCTATATTAGAAACTGTTGAGATTTGTTATTGATTCGCATTTTGTTGACTCTGTACATTTAGATATTGTAAATAATTTGATTTTGTAGTTAATTTACACACGCGTCGTCTGTAATGAATTCATGAAAGAAACATTAATCGAAGAAACGTTTTCCCTTCTTAATTTGTTCACTTTTTTTCTGTAAGATGGAATGAAGAGAAGGCACAAATTAAATTTAAATGAATCATTATACAGATCAGATTTGTTCTTATTAAATAAAACTCACTTTGTGTAAATAAATAAATATAAATAGAGTATATTATAATATAAATGATATTTATAGATAAAAAACAATATATGATTAAACATGTGATGTGTGTAGAATGTGATATGATCTGTGTGAGTTTGGCGAGATTTAGCTTATTATTTTGGCCAGCATGGCCTTTGGTTATTAGTTATTAGAAATGAGGAGGTCGAGGGGAGATTGTCAAAGACGGTGGAGCCGGGTTAAGTCTGTTCACAGCGCGACAACAACGTAAAACACATTGAAACAAGTTTAGAAATTAAAGAAAACAACAACAACAAACATTAGTTGAATCTCCCATTTCTGTTTCATATCTCTCTCTCTCTCTCTCTCTCTATCTCTGAATATTTAGGTTTCACGAATACTTGCCATGATGAAATCCTAGCCTAGACTGACGTTTAATAATAAAGAAACTAAGAAAATATTATTATAATTAAACAAGAGGAATGAAATTATTCGCTTACTGTGAGCATTATTTTTTTTGTTTTTCATTTCAAATATGAAAACGATGACGATGTTGAGGTATTAAACACATTTAACCGCATAGATTCGTTCAGTTATTCTTCAACCTCTAGTATTTCTGATAATTAGAAACGCGGATGACTCTACCCACATAAAGCAGATATATTTTAAATAAAAGAAACTATAATATAAAAAAATAAATAAACGAAAGTGCTCATTGCCCAATGAAAAGTAATTATTAATAAACTCGATTAAGAAAAGAAGAAAATAACAATGATTGTAGAATCCATCTAAGCATGCGACAAGCAAACAGAATGTAAGCGCTGTGTGTGCTTTTACAAAATAATAGCCTTTAAATCAAGAAAATGTGTTACGTGGATATCAATCTGCGTATGCGTGTGATGAGTGAACGTGTGCGTGCGTTAATTTTATTTTAAATTTTTCATTTCTTAGATTCTCTCGTTTCGTTTAGGAAACAACAATCTCACCATCGTCGTATGATGTAAAAAAATAACAACAACAAAAAAAAAACCAAAAACAAAGCACGTAGATTATCTTGTTTTTAGTTTCAGTTGTTAGGATTTGTATTTCTTTTTCTGTTTGTATTTTCTCCCTCTTAGACGTCGAGGGAGTAAATTGAAAACTGCAGGATATAAGAAATGGAAATAAAACAGAAATTACATGAGATTAATTGAATTTTAAATGAGTAACATGTAAATATTATGAGATATGACGAGAAACGTAGAAAGTGCCTCCTTTTGAATTTTTGCGCATTGCTACTGTCTTTATTTCGGTTCGAGGTGGTCAAAACCAAATGGAAACTAAACAAAAAATATGTAATGTGAGAGAAATTGAATTAACTAAGTTTATGTTATGAAGAAAATATATATGTGTGTTATAAATATAACTATATATATATATACACTTGAAATTGAAATGAGCAAATAATATGTTGAGAATATGGAATATTGAGGAAGTAATAATACAAAAATGATTTAACTGTTGTTATCTTATTGTCTTATAATTATCATGGTAATAATTTTTGTTTACAACTGAAATAAAGCTGCATTTTTACGGTTACCCTTTACGACTTTTTCTTTTCCATGTCCAGATACTAAACAAAACAAAATGTAAATATTTTTATACGTTAATCCAGTGGTCCGCGTCCGTTGGTTTGGTGAGAAGTATGATTTAAACCTTCCACTACCTTCCACTGTGCTGGAAATATACCGAGTCTCAGGATTACGTTGTAGATAAGCGTTATTACCCTAATGCCGGTACTGTGGAGCTGCCTCAAGAGCTCTGCTGTAATCAGGTCATATCCTAGCGCTTTTTTTAGCTTGAACTATAGTTAGCTTAACGTGCCTCACGTTAAATTGAGCAATGGGAAGTGACAATGGTATGGAGACCCCAGAAAATCCATTATCTCGTTTTCCTCTTCCCCTGCAAGTCCTGCCGGGAAAGGTTGGAACACGTTTGTTAGATGGTCGGCAAACACCTCCGCCATTTGAAATTAAAAATAATTTATAAAATAATTAGTTTTATCAGCAAATTTTATGATTTTAATATAAAATAAGTTAATAAAATAAATATTATAATTCCTGAAGATCTATTTTCATTTACATGAATAATCAGTATTTAATAAGTTCACATAAATAAAACTACAATATAAACGGTAATAGTTTATTAAACTAAAATGTGAACTAGAGCAGAGGAATGTAATCATCATTTTTCTTTGGCCTTAGCCTCCGCTGTTGCCTTCTCCGACTTTTCGATAGCCTCCGACAAATCGTCATCATCAGCCAAATCTTTATTGTAGAGGGTAGGATATCTTTGCATGCACGTCTGCATGTCTTTGAATTTATTGTAGCAATCAGAACCTGTAAATTATAATAGCATAAAGAAAATTCGTACATTTCTCCAAATTAAATTAGCATACCTTTGGGGTCTGAATCTGAATAATGGAAACAACTAAAAGCATCCCTGAACTCTACCCCACATGGTCCAGTCGCCATACCGCCCAGACATGGGCAGTTCCAATTAATTTTTCCATCTGGCATAATAAGCCCAGGCTGTTGTTCAGGTTCAGACAGTGATATTTTGCTAGGAACAGAATGATCCTCCTTAGTTGCAAAGATGATAGTGTCTTTGTCCTTGGGACCACGTTTCACACATTCAGACATTTTGACTAAAATAATTATGTTTATGCACTATCATGACAGCAATAATTGAGTTTACTTACTGAATGTAGTCTCTACTGTCACCAAGGAGATTTAAAAGTAAAGGTGCAGCTTTGCAGACACGGAACAGACACTTTTTATCTTGATATCGGCTCACTAAAGTTAAGCTTGATCTGAGCTTAACGTAGTTATACTCTGGCACTCTTAATATAGCCCTCCTAGTTTCTGGACTGTATCGAAGTATGTCAACAGGGACTGTTGCCCCAATCTCGCCAAACAATTCCTGTAAAGATTGGATGATGCACTGCTTGAAGTACACTGCCAATAATTCCTCGGGTTCCTCTTGCAGCTCAAACTCCCTTCAAAAATAATTTTAAGGTTAGAAACAGACATGATTTCAGGTTTCGTTTCCAAAACACTTTTCGACATTAAAACACAAAAATACTAACAAAATAACGTCTAAGTAGTAATACTTATTCATTGCATGATGTAATCGATAATTATAGAAATAATCAAAGATATTCAAAAGTAAATGAGGAAATCAACACTCACTCTGCTCACTCGTCTCAAACTGATGCACATTTAACTAATCAGAACTTTGGGTTGCCTATTAAACTATATTTGTTTATATAAACAATTCAAATCAAAGTTATATACATTTTCCAGTAAATGTATAGATTGGCTTACAATTGATGTAAAAGTAAATAATTAAATACAATCTGTATCCATATTATCTGCCAGGGAATTTTGATGGTTCGCAGAGTAATTTGAATATATTTATTATATTGTTTATTATGTCTACTAAAGTAAAAACAAGTGAAAGTACTATTTCATAGTACCAAAGAATCTTATATTTATGGAAAAAAAAATCAGAAACCTACCTACAAAAAATAATAAGAGAAACATAGTATTTAAACATTTATTTTGAAGCATAGATTTTTATAATTTAATAATACATTATAAAAATATTATCTTCCAAAGAAATTTACAAAGTCAATCATATTTTATATAATCTCATTTGCCAATCACCTACTTTCAAAATGAGTACAATGTACTTTTTCCTAATTTCAAATGTGTATTTATATATTATAAAAGAATCCTGAACAGACTGTGCACTTGAAGCTATTGGCGGTATTTTGTTGACATTCTATAGCCAATCTATCAGAAAATATGTTATCAGTGGATGATATAATTGTGTCAAA